TTTTGCATTTTTAGCGTGTGTTGTCGTCACTCGGGACTCAATTTCCGCAAGTGCGCAGGTGACGACCCTCTCGCTTTAAGTCGTAGTGTGATGGTCCGTGTAACATGAATAATATTTTTTTGACCAAATTTGGTTTATTTTTGTTTTGTTTTGCATATTGAGGCAAAATAGTCATTTTTGTCACTTTTCTTTTTTATAAAATCCAGATTTTGGAAATCTTTTGAAAATGTGTATCCCACCAGTTGCAAAATATGAATTTCCCGCACTATGTCTCTAGCCTACAATTGTAACATCTCCAGCATAGACACCAGTAGTAAAAATGTTTTAGTACTGACACAAATAGCCATTTGTACAATATAACAACCACCATAGTTTTCCCCAAAATGCACAATTCCTTGCAAAATAGATAAATTGTGTGTATTTTTATTTGTGAGTCGCATGACCTCTAATGGACGTAAATTTCCTTTCTGTGAAAATCAAAAATATGATTTTATCTAAAACTTAACAAAAATTATTTTATTACTGGTTGGATTCCTTGTGTGACTGTACTCTTGACTTACCCCAATCTGTTAACATAAAACATGTTATTATATGTCTCTCATCGTAACACCATAAGTTACATCGTGCTGTAATTTTCATCCTACCATATTAGGAAATGTGAATTCCAAATATGGAATGATTACTCAGAGAAGCGTCCTCTAATAATAAAAACAAACATGGCTGCCACCAGAGTTTGACCGGACTCCACACAAAAAGTTTGCTGATTCTGTTGTAAACATTTTGGATTTCGGCATTCCCATGGTGTATCCTTGGAAGGAAAATATGCATTTATTACGATGAAACCTCAAGATATGCACTCAGACAGTAGGCAGTCCATCGACCTCCGCTGCACGGAAGTCGATACTCTCGCTGTGTACTGTCTTCATGCATACTTTGAGGTATCCTCGTAATAACCTCATATTATGTTTGACATTCAGTTGGTCAAGAGTAAAGAGATGTTTGAAATTTCTTTGATTTGTGTATTATTTTTTTTATCTATTTTATGTAGTCATTTAATTTTTAATCTGGAATTCAGCTTGTTACACAGTACGAGTACTGGCACCATTACGTGACAAATGTGTTGTAGGGTGACTACTGCATAGACTCTAGGCATAGTTTTAATTGTAAACTAATGGAAGGGCGAAAACAAGTCTTGTCTCTGTCAATGATAAGATTTTAGGGACTATTTTAAACCTGTAACAAAAATAATAATTTGTTGATTGTCTTAAGGTAGCGAGACTATTATTTGTGTTGAAAATTCCGATTTTCACATTTATTTAAGAATTGATGAAATGCACTATAAACTTTCATCTGACAAAGTCAACGTAACCTAGAATGTCATGTAAGTTGGTTAAAATGTAGATTTTCTGAAGGGAAGCAAGGCAGCTTCAGTAGTGTTTTCTAAAATCAACAACACAGGTTTAATTTGTGTGCCTATAAGTTTCAAAGATTAACTCAAGACAAAGCAATGTTAGGATATGTTATCAGTAGCTATCTGACACACAATGAGTGTTTCCAAACATTTGAGTGGTTTGTCTCCGCCCCTGTTTATTTCACAGATTAGTCATTTGCATATGAATGTGTCAGACACGAGGTCACACAGCCACTGAAAAAAATCATTGATTTTAGTGTTTTCATCTGCCGTTTTATCGAACT